AAAGAAACTACATCAAACTTTTTAGAGTGAGAAGCTAATTTCAAAATCTAAAAGAGAAACTATTTTAGAATTTTTAGAGAGAGAAACTATCTAGATTTTTTTAAGTTCTAGAGACAAACAATCTCAACATTATCAAATTTTAAATTTTAGAGAGAAAAACTATCTCAAAATTTTAGAGAGCGAAACTATTTTAAAATTACATAGAGAGAAACTATCTCAAAGTTTTTAGAGAGAGAAGCTACTCAAATTTCAAAAGTTTAGAAAGAGACACTATCTCAAATTTTTTTAGAGAGAAAAACTATCTTAAATTTGTTTTAGAGAAAGAATATATCAAAGCTGTTAAAAGCAAATTTTATAATTTAGAGAGAGAACAATATCAAAAATTTTAGAGAGAAACTATATTAAATTTCAAGTTTGCGAGAGAGACAAACTCTCCTAAAGTTTTTAGTGAGTGAACCTACTCAAATTCCAAAGTTTTAGAGAGATAAATTATATCAAAATTATTGGTTAGAGAACCTCTCTCAAATTTGTTTTAGAGAGAAATTTAGTCAAATGCTTTAGAGGGGGAAGCTATACGCAATTTCAAGTTTTAGAGAGAGAGAAACTCAAAATTTTTAGAGAGAAACTATTTCAAATTTCAAGATTTAGAGAGAGAAACTATCTCAAAATTTGTAGAGAAAGAAATTATCTCAAAAATTTTAAAGAGAGAAACAATCTCAATTTTTTTTAATGGTATCATTATCAAAGCGTTTTTCCAACTAATTGAGGTCGATTATGCTAATCCCGATTCGCCATTCTGCTCTATTAGCTCTATTAAGGGTCAGTGAGGTGATAAGTCCCCATATTATTTCTCACTACTTCAAACTATGGCCTTTCGGGCCTATGCCATGCCCTTTTTGAGCCTTCTACTTGAACTCATTGGCACCTTCTAAGAGGTGACGTACTGGGTCTCCACTACATATGGTCAGCCCACTTAAGTCTGCGTTCTCTCATTTTATTGCCCATTGGTACCACACCTAAGTTTTTTCGAGTGTTTTCATTTCGAATTCTATCCCTTCTTGCCTTGCCACTCATCCATCTCAATAACTTTATCTTAGCTACACTCATTTTATGAGTATTTTCTTGACCGCCCAACATTATGCTTCATAAAGTAACGCTAGTCTTATAACTGTCCTATAGAACTCACCATTTGTCTTCATTGGTATGCGACAATCACATAAAACTCCAGTTGCATATCTCCACTTCACTCACCCAACTCTAATTCTATGTGTGACTTCTTCCTGAATCTTTCATTTTTCCTAGATTATCAACCCAAGATATCGAAAGTGTATTCTTCTTGGTATTTCTTGGCTATCAATCTTAACTACTTCCTCATCATCTCTACTCATATTATTACTAAACTTGCATTTCATATATCCTGTCTTAGTCCGACTAATTTTAAAACTTTTAGATTCTAAAACATCATTTCAAAGTTCTAACTTTGGGTTGACGCCGTTTTGGGTCTCATCGGTAAAACTATATCATCAACGAACAACATGCACCACTGTACCTCAGCTTGTAAGTACCTAGTTAAGTCATCCATAATTAAAACAAAGAGGTATAAGCTCAATGCTGAACCTGATGTAGATTTATTATCATTGAAAAGTCATTTGTCTCTCAACAAGCTGTTCGTATACTAGTTAGTGTTCCTAAGTACATATCTCCCACCAAATCGTTTAGTGTTTGGAGACTCCATTTTTTTTTTTTTTTCCAATCTCCACCAAATAAAATATCTAGGTACTCTAGCATAATATTTCTTTAGATCAATAAAGACCTTGTAGATGTATTTTTCCTTTGCCCTATAGTTTTGTGTCTTAGTCGTTACTCAATCACTCTCTCGCATAACTTCATACTGTGACTCATAAGTTTGATTCCTGGATAGTTCGCACAATTATGTATGTCGCGTTTATTTCTCAAAAACCTCAAAAAATCAACAATCTATATTGGTTTCAATCTTAGAGGTAAAGTCCCCAACATCATAAAAAGCTTTTTCTATAGAGAGAGTAACTTGAAGGGCAAAATAGGTGACACGCCCTTCACGAACCTTCATCTGCAAATGTTTTGAGGTTGCAAACCATCATTTACAAATCTAGCTCTAAAAATGTTTTGAGCGATTTGATGAAAGAGAGAAAGAGATGTGAGACCTGCTTAATCTAGCTCTAAAAATGTTTTGAGCGATTTGATGAAAGAGAGAAAGAGGTGTGAGACCTGCTTGAGAGTGGGAGAATGGTTTTTGTAAGTGCGACTTAGAGCGGGAAGGTTGGGCGGGGAGGGGCTCAGCGGGAAGGTTGGACAGGAAGGCGTGATGAGGGAAGCGAATCGTTCACGGTTACGGGCAAATTTGGCTTAGCATCATAGTTTGTTTTGATGGGGAATAAAATCTAATGGGGTTATCCAAACGGTTTCTAGTTGCTAACTCAATTTTTTTTATTTGAAATTAAAAAATATTCCAATTTTGGGTACATCCAAATTGGCCCTTAATAATGTCGTATATATAAATACAGATATATAGCATAGATAAAGTAGATATTATATTATAGTTAGATATCCCTTAACTGTGGCATAACAATGTTGTATATATAAATATGGATACAAGTAGATATTATATTATAGTTAAATATTTTACTATAGTTAAGGGTAAGACATTTGTTTCTTCAATTAGATGAGAACCCTATAGGCCAACTGAGTTAAAGGTAGTGTATCTAACGAGAAAGAGAGCCTGGGTCAAGAGAATATATATAGGTCTATACATGTTACGCTACCAGTAAGGATAGAACTCTCAATGTTTTAGGTATAATTCTAGAGTGATCCCAAAAATTGTAGGACCTATGTTTTATACTCATTTCTCTCTCTCTCTCTCTTTTTTTTAATTCATTAATGTTAACTTGAAGTTAAAGAGCAATACACTTGGCCCTTGAACTAAATGAGGACCCTACATGGAGAGAATTTATGGTAACTACCCAAGGAGAGATACTCTAGGTCAAGAGTATCTATATATCTATTCTACATAGAATCAGTAAGTAGAAGAGTGTTTTAAGGTAGGGCACCTAATGAGAGAGAGACTATAGGTTAAGAGAATATGTAGGTCTAAGAGAGATTTCAAATATGTAGGGACCTATAAACAGTTGATAATGTTTCCTTTTTTGGAAATGTTAACTTAGTAAGTTGCTGGAATAGAACCCTAGACATGCTCCAAGCCTAGAAGCAATTCCTTCTCTTTTGCACCTTGGTTTTCGGTCTTTTTTTCCCTACGTCAAGGAAATTTTATCATTCAACTTGTCTTCTCTCTGTTTATAAACTTTGTAGAGATTAAGATTTTAGAGGTTACATGTGAAACCAAAAAATCTTCTAATCTTGATTGAGAGAGCTTTTTATGAAATTTGAAAAAGGAATTAACTTCATGGTAACTATACAAGATTCATTGTGATTGTCATCTATATATAGAGCAACGTATTTGTGTAATTTTTTATCCAAAAATAATGAAGATGTAGCCAGTTAGGGCTTTGGATCCATCAACGTAAGGCTTCGCCTGAACCACGTAAATATTGTGTTATCGGTTCTCTCTTCTTCTATCTCTATGTATACTCCGAAAACCTCTGCCCTAGTGCCGTGCAAAAAAAAACATCCGCTCTAAAAAAAACTTCGCTTCAGTACACCAACTTGAGGAGAGTGTTGAAGATAGTCAAATTGACGGGTCAAGTTGGTGTGTTGAAGATAGACAAGTTGGTGTGTTGAAGATAGACCAAGTCAAATTGACTGGTCAAGTTCGTTATTGGTGATAAGCCTCATATTATTTTCATCTGATTCATTGTGATTGGTCGTTATTGGTGATAAGCTTCATATTATTTTCATCTGATTCATTGTGGTTGGTTATTGGTGATAAGCCTCAAATTATTTTCATCTAATTCATTGATTGTCTGTTATTGGCGATAAGCCTCATATTATTATTTTCATCTGATTCATTGTGATTATATATAGAGGCATGTATTTGTGTAATTTTAATCGAAGATGTATGTGGACGTAAGGCTTCGGCCTGAACCACGCTTTTCTCTTATTCTCTTCTTTTTCTCATGTAATTTTTTATCCTTCTTTTCTTTTTGTCATGTATTTGTGTAATTTTTTATCCAAAAATAGTGACTCTTTTTTTTCTCATGTATTTGTGTAATTTTTTATCCTCTTCTCTTCTTTTTCTTATGTATTTGTGTAATTTTTTATCCAAAAATAGTGAATATGTAGCCAGTTAGGTTTTGGATATGTGGACGTAAGGTTTCGGCCTGAACCAGGCTTTTCTCTTTTTCTTCTCTTCACATTCAATGTGTTATCTCTTTTCTCTTCTTCTCTTCTCTTCTTTTTCGATTCACATTCAATGTCAGGCCACGTAAATCTCTTGTTTTGCACATTCAATGTCAGGCAACGTAAATCTTGTGTTATCTCTTTTCTCTTCTTATTCTCTTCACATTCAATGTCTGTGTATACGCTCTTGAACTTTATCGTAAAAACTTTAACATGGTATCAGAGGAAAAAAAAAAAAAACCTTCGGTTCTCCCAAACCAAACCTTAACAGGCGAATAAAAACCCTTAGGTTGTTAGGTTTAGATAAGTGTATATCACTATAATAGTGGGATTAGGTCAAATCCCTCCCTTCCATTTGAGCGAGAATGTAGGAAGGCATCTATATTTCATGACTTTCTCCTAAATTTTGTCTGATAATTCCAAAGTCCGTAACTTTCTATCTCTACCATCTATATTTAGGTATTGTTTCTTGCTGTAAAAGAGGCATCTATATTTATTGATTGACAGGAGAAAGTATTAAGGAAGGAGGTAGAAGAGCGTTGGGTCTCTAATATTAGAGAGAGAAAGCTAAGAGTTTGAAGACCGTATAAACGAGAGGTAGGGAGCCTCCCCGTTTCCCTCGCCCTCGGCCCTCCCTCTGCATAAGAGAGAATGCCTGCCTCTCACCTGCCCTTCTCAAAACCCTCCCCCAAAAACAACCCATTAGAGAGACAGAGAAACAGCAAAGGGGGAAGGGGAGCTCTCTTTGGGGGAGCTAGAGAGAGCCCCACAATGGAGATCGTAAAGGAGGAGCTCTTGCCACCATTGTTGGAATCGTCCTCGTCTGATGATTCTTCCTCATTGCCATCGTCGGTCTCCGATTTTTCGGAGGAGGAGGAGGAACTGCAGCGCCTCACGCAGCGGGAGGCGCCCCCAACAGTGGCAGCACTTGCTTGTGCTAAGAAGCGTCTGACAAAGCAGCTCTCGATGTTTGAGACATCACGGGAGGCAGCATGGGAGCGCCGGCGGCACCAGTTCCTTAAGCAGGAGGAGAGGAGCAGCAGCTTCAATGGGTTTGTGGGACGGAGCTTGACCGATGAGGACCTCGACGAGTTGAAAGGGTGCATTGAGTTGGGTTTTGGGTTCGACCATGACCACGAGGATCGCACCCTCTGTAATACATTGCCTGCCCTCGATCTCTACTATGCTGTCAACAGGCAACTGTCTGACTCGAAGATGACGACGACAACTGCATCAACACAGGAGGAATCTACTCCGAGCAGCTCCGGCGGCCAATCTTCTTCGTTTGGGAGCCCCAGGAGCCCTAACTCCTCCGAAGCATGGAAGATATTCACCCCTGGTACGCACACCCTCTATCTCTTACATTAAGGTGTTTCAGCCTAAGACTCCCTCCGATACATTAGAGTTTCAGATTCATATTCCATCCTAAGACTTCTCTCTCTCTTTTTCTCTCCTCCATTAATGAATTTCATCCTACTTTCACTTTTACTCCCGGTGGAATAATGGTTTTGCTGCTTACAAATCTCTCTCATTCCCTTAAATGGGATTTAAGTAATACTTTGTAGGCATTTGTTTGTTTTAGAGAGAGGAGAGGGATAAGTTTTTACAAGGCTTAGGATTTATGAAAACATAAATGTTCATAATGGCTCCAAAATCAATTTCCAAAAATGTTCATAAAATTTGAAACTTAAAAAGAATGTACAGATCTTGCTGTTCTTTGAATACTGATTTTTAGGGCAAAATGGACAGTCTAGTTATACACTATCTTTAGATCTTGAAATCCTAATATTTTTTTTCACGTGATGAGGCTTTATTTATTTTGATAAGGCTGCCCTATCAAACCATTTTCCAAACGTTAAAGATAGTTGACTTTGTGATGACTTCTAAGATTTCAGATTAGTTGACTTGTGAGATTTGCTTTGTTATTTGTTGTGCAGGGGACAACCCTCAGCATGTGAAGAGGAGGTTAAGGCACTGGGCGCAAGCTGTTGCCTGTTCAGTCAGGCAAATCTGTTGAGCTAAACCGAACTTTGAAGTTTGCTTCCTTCCTTTGGGCCATGGTCTCCTTAGGTTTTCATCAGAAGAGAGACCACTTCCCTTTTAATGCCTCTCTCCTATCCGAGAGAGAGAGAGAGAGAGAGAGAGAGAGAGAGAGAGACGACTCGTCCTTATCGCACTACTCTCCTCCTACCTACTACCTAGTCGTACGTAGAGGAGGACGGACGGTACCGTCGACCGTAGTCGTACGTACGTTCCGGTCCGGT